ATAAAAATATATTTAAAAAAAAAAAAAAAAAAGACAATGCTAAAATTTGAGAACCACTGGTCTGGATGAACCAAAAAGAAAAGTAATTAAATTGTAAAACCTGACATCAATGAGGAGATGACCCATGAGAGGAAAATATAAGCTCTATCCCTGGCAGCAACTTCACATCTGGTTAGTGGGTATTTATTACACCTTCTGGCAAGGATCAGAAAAAATGTAACGGAGGAATGGGAACAACACTGGCAAAGCGAGAGACAAAGCATTCTTTCAGTCCTTTCAGAATCCCACGGGAGCTACTCACCTCCTCTAGACATTTCTTGAGAAGCTCCAATGCCCGCTCACGTGAGAGATCTGAAAGAGAATACAGAGGCCAAGCACTCAAGGTTCTGCCATTAACTTTTGATTAAGTTTCAAACTTCCTCAGGTCAGCATGTCACACAAACGGAAAAGGGGGAAAATGCCGAGCCTTCTAGCTTGCAACAAACTTATTCCATATGCAGTTGAGGGTGCCCCAGACCCAATGCTCTGGCAGCCACAAGCCATTGCAAATTGATTTGCTATAGAGAAGGGTAAGCATGACGGAATTCTGCCTCCCATGGCTGGGGCCTGCCTCTAGAGAAGTCCAGCAGTCTGCCTCTTTTTTATAGCCCACCCCCCCCACTTCACCCCAAACCCCCTTTAGACCAGGGCTTAAACCAGTTCCATCTGCCCAAGCCAGCTGCAAATCAGGAAAAGGGAGGACAGGGCCAGAGTTTCAGCCTCACTTTCCCAGCTGGTTCTCAGTTTAACAATGGAAAGAGAATTCATAGGATGGGGCTGAGACTCTCATAAAATAGGAGCCAAAGGAACTATCCATGGGCATGTCAAACTGGGATGACATATTACGCAGTTAGGCTTCAGGGGTGGTTGATGGTTATATTGGTGGGCAAATCAGCTGTATTTCTGACAGCTGCCAAATCAAGAAACAGTCACTAGGAGGCCAGGCTAATTCTTTTCAGGATGTGAGCTCTGGCAAGGCTGAGGTTGAGTGAGGGGGCAGCACCAAAAAGGAATGAAAAGGCCGGATTTTTATTCTACTGACAGGGAAGAACAGAATGTAAGGAGAGAGGTGGTTATTTACACTGCATCTATAGCCTGTAAACGCTAAGATTCCCAAATGTCTATTGCTCACAGTGGCTAAAGTCAAAGTTGGGATTGGGGTCAGAAGTTAGAACTTAGGGCAAAAGCATCTCTATGTCAGAGGCTTTGCCAAGATGACAATTTATTGACAAGTAAAGAGCCAGCTTTATCTTGCAGGAGGGGGCAGCCATTAAGTGATAGGAACCAAGGGAAGGGCCTAGACCAGTGATGGCGAACCTATTACACGTGTGTCAGAGGTGACACGCGAACTCATTTTTTTGGTTGATTTTTGTTAAATGGCATTAAAAATATAAAATAAATATCAAAAATATAAATCTTTGTTTTACTATGGTTGAAAATATCAAAAAATTTCTATATGTGACACGGCACCAGAGTTAAGTTAGGGTTTTTCAAAATGCTGACACGCTGAGCTCAAAAGGTTCGCCATCATTGCCCTAGACTTATGGCCTTCAAAAGCTCTGACATTTAAACAAAGATACCCTCAGTTGTCATGCTGGGGAACTTGTTCATCCTCATAAGCTTAAGAGGGACTTTTATCAGCTTTTCACTAACTGTACCGACCCACAGGAGAAAGGAGCTTCGAGAGGGCACCTGAATTTACTTCTTAGGATCTCTCCTCTATTTAAGCCCTGGCCACCCAACTCCATGGGGTAGTGCACAAAATCAGGAAGCAGCTGAGGACAGAGCTCTGCTACTTTTCCCCACCTAGGTTGCTGGAACTTACTTGGTGTGTAGTATCGGTCCAGGATACTGAGAGTCAGGAAGGCACCATATCCGTGGGCTGCGAAAGGGGCCTTGGCCAAGGCTGCCAGGTAGTCCATGTAGTAGAGTGCTGGACCCTCATGCTCATCGTAGCCAGCCAGGAGGAGGTTTACGTGATACGGGGTCTGCAAAAGAAAGACGTGGCAAAGTGATCGTCAAAGGAGTAACACCAACATTGCTTTCTGTGACAAATGAGAACATTCCAAGTCTTGATGAATAAAAAATAGCAGCAACTAAGTAAATCGTAAAATTTAGAGGACCCTAAAGGACACAGAAAGTGGTAAGAGCTTAAGAAAGGTCCACTTGTCTTCTTTGAACAGAAGAACACTTGAAAAAGCTGCTTTCTTAAAGCCTATGGACCAGAACCTGTTACAAAAGCATTTCAAAGGCAAAGCATGGGTGCTCTCGTGTCTCTCCTAATGGCTGAAACCAACAAACACAATTCTGAGTATCCTAAATAAACAGGCTCAGGCCGAGCACCTGAACCAAAATTTTAAGTGGTTAACTGTATGCCCCTCTATTAGAAACAATTATTGGGAGGGGGAAGGATAGTAGGTCTCAAATGTTTAGGTTAAATCACTAAACTTTTAATGCAGACAATAATAATGAAAGTCCATAAATAATAATTTTAAAAAACATAGAAGAACTTTAGATTTAGGTGAAATGCTAACATTTTTCTAATATAATAACATTCCCCTAAGACAGTGATGGCGAACCTTTGAGCTCGGCGTGTCAGCATTTTGAAAAACCCTAACTTAACTCTGGTGCCGTGTCACATATAGAAATTTTTTGATATTTGCAACCATAGTAAAACAAAGACTTATATTTTTGATATTTATTTTATATATTTAAATGCCATTTAACAGAGAAAAATCAACCAAAAAAATGAGTTCGCGTATCACCTCTGACAC